AAGATGCGCGTTAAATATCGCATGCGATTAATCGTGCAGCCCTAACATAAATTAATCAGCACAACTTTATTGTTTACTACCTTGTGGTAGTGTGTGCCAGATGAACAAAGCTGCTCAAAAATGCAACGCATCAAGAAAGATCACGTATTTTCTTTGGTTTTTAACCTTTTGACCTTTTGGGTCCATAGATAAGTTTTTTGGAAGCTTGCGTGAAGATGTGTATAATCAGCTTGATCTTATGAGAAAATGTAGCTATTTTACAAGGAGGTGATTTTGTATGAAATGTGATTCATATGGAAATGTACAGTTTTTTTTTTTTTTTTTTAAAGCAGGAAGGTCCACCCCTAAACATAATCCATTTAAACTCGAAAAACACTTAGTAGCAGGTTTTTGTGTTTAGTGCCCTTCACATTCACCTTTCATGCAGTGCCTCGAATAATAGATCAAGGTAGCAGGACATTTGCTGTAACTGCTGTTGACTCTTTCAAAACGTTTCTTATCTGAAGGTCTATCTGTCTTGTCGCAGCAGAAGTGAATGGTGTGACTTCAGGACTCTCATAGTAACTCTTTCATTCGGTCATGAGCGTCTGTTATCATACAGACCCAGTAATATAAAGACTGGAGCGGTTTATCTCTGCAGGTCATTATAATGGCCACTAAAATTAAATATTATATTTGTAGACATCAAGATGAAGGTTGTATATCATTGAATATACTTTGCGATTGGCTGTTATAAAACAGCATGTCAACACAGGCTCTCTCTCTCTCTCTCTCTCAGGCAGGAGATCATGAAGTGGAATGGCTGGGGTTACAGTGACTCAAGGTTCCTGTTCAATAAAAAGGGTCAAGCAGAGTTCACAGGGAAACGGTGAGTATGAGGCACCAAACAAAGACCAGTTAGACTCAGAATAGACTTCTAATTAGACTCAGATGTTTTGTACTGCATTGGAAAGTCAGTGGCATTCTGCAGAATGGATGAACGTGTTAAAGGGGTCATATGATGCTTTTTTAAAGATCATTTAAAGTACTTTTGCTTTCGCCTAGAAACACACAGCGTCTCTCTGACATGCTGCTTCAACACTAACCGCGGTTACTGAAACCACGCCTTCTTTCTTTGCGTGCACATTTGGGCGGCATTACGCAAATATTTCCACATAGTGAGGTAGATATGTGGGGGCGTGTTAGAACGAGCCGTTTTAGGGGGGCGTGGCAGTCTTAACTTTGATAAAGAATATCTCTTTGGTTTTGAGACTTTAGTCTTTGCAACTTCAGGGATCTTATCTATGCACAATCAGCTTGTAACACTCCAAAGAGAAAGGAAAACTTGAAATCGCATCATATGACCCCTTTAAGCAGAGCTGACAGCACTATAGTCTTAAAGTGATAGTTCACCCAAAAATGAAAATTCTGTCTTTTTTTTTTGTTTTTTACTCACCCTCTTGTCTGTATGACTTAACTTTCGTCTGTAGAATAATACAAGAACATATTTTGTCTCAATGCATTTTTTTTTTTTGTACATACAGTGAAAGTGGTGTTTTTGGACCCCATTGACTTTTATTTGAATGAACAACAGCATTCCTTTAAATATTGTACCACTAATCCTGAACAAGGATGGAAAGAAGATATTACAAATTTGTCATGATATATAAGGCTGAAAAGTGTTTGAAATATGGACAGCTTACTCTTAATACCTTACAGGGCCTGTAAATGGTTTAAATAAATTTATAGTCAAACAAGTGAGTTGTTAAAAATGCAGCTAATTAAGTTTAAATAATAATTTTCTGTATTTTTACAATTCATTTGATATGAATTTACACTATATTTGTTAATTTGTCTAAATTTGTACGTTAAAATAATAAAAAAAATGACATTATCATTCAAACTGATTTTTATTTTTTTTTATAAATTGCATCCTGCATTTCGGCCGAAGCATACAGTACTCTATGGAAGTACATGAATGTAAACGCTTCTAGCTATGCAAGGTTGATTTTGTGCATCGCAGTGTTTTGAAATGTGTCGTTGAGCTTTCTAAACATTCATATAGAGGACATTAGCATAAACAGCCTCATGCACTCATAACACTGGCCCGGATGGAGATGTTTACCACAGCATGCTCCTTAAGTACATTCTCAAGGACCTACAGACACACACAGTCACACAGCGTGTCCTATTCTGTGTAATCGTACAGACACAGCGGCGCTGCTTAATCTAACGTACACAGAAGATGTGCTTTTGCTGCCATATTTCATCATAACACATACAAGTTGCTCAAAAAAAAACAAGCCTATAGTTTCAAAAAAGTCACGGGATGATTATGAGCATATACAAAGAAAACCATTTAACTCCAGTCAGTCATTCACACCAGACAGCAACTGGCGTATATATACAGACACACACACAGACACACATTTGGTAGGAACTGTCAGCTCCTCTGTGGTGAGGACTGGATGTGCTCGTTTTTCCTGGTTCAGTGTGGTGTGCTCATGCCATCTAGCGGCTGGAATCTGCACTGCTGCGTCTGAACACAAGGGGGCCATCTGACAGTATTAGGTCAGAGAGAGAGTTGTTTATTAGATTAGAAAGATTGAATGGATTAAATAGATTTAATGAGTTATTAATCATGCACAACTGAGTTGCATTAAGAACAAAAACTTGTACATGTTTTACATGAATCCGTACTGAATCCCATACTGGTTTCAGGTATCGGTTGAGTGGGCTGATTTTACCAAGTCTGAAGGACTGGTTCGAGGGCACGTTTGGAGCCAATTTACAGCATAAATCTCCTGCGACAGTAAGTGAAGTGTGGTATATCAGACCTGCTGTATAGCAGACTCTGGTGTTGTGTGTGTGTGTGTGTGTGTAATATGGGGTGTGTGTCTTCTTCCAGCCCACCGTGAATTTAAGTGCAGTTGCTCCTCCTGACCTGAACGAGCCCTTCGTCGAGGATCTGAAAGCAGCAGGTGTGGCCATGTCACATGACCCAGAGGACCGGGTTTTCCGAGCTCATGGTACAGAGCTGCCATCTTTGTGTTTGGCAGAAATTTTTCACTTTTTTTTTTCATGTTTTACCTCATATTTCAGCTGTGGGAAATTAGTTTCATAAAGAAATGGAACCTTATTTTAATAAATAATGTTTCCATTGTATATGACAATGCAAAAATCATAATGGTCCTAAAATAGGTTTTCTTTTTGCAGGTTATGTTTTTTTTTTATGATTTTAGTTTTTATTTGCTTTTTATTTAGGGGTGAAATATGAGTTTTTTTTTTTTAAATTACAGTTTACTTTTAAAAGAGAGTTTGTTGTTTTTATTTTAATTTTGATTTGATCAAAACACTTTACTCTTTAGTTTATATATGAAAATGTATTTTATTATTTCTCATACACTACCATTCAAAAGTTTGATTTTTGAATGGTAGTGTAGAGAAATTTTTTTTTTTTATGTGTTTGAAAAATGTCTCCTATGTTCACCAAGGCGACATTTATTTATCAAAAATACAGTAAAATACAAATATACAATAAAATTGCAATTTAAAATAACTGTTATCTATTTTAATATATTTTGAAATGAAATCTGTGATGCAAAAGCTGAATTTTCAGCATAATTGCTTTGCTGCTCAAGAAACATTTCTTATTATTATCAATGTTGAAATCAGTTGCACTACTTCACATTTTTGTGGAAACCCTGAATTTTTTAAATAGGATTCTTTGATAAATAGAAGGTTCAAAAGAACAGAATTTATTTGATGCAGAAAGCTTTTTTAACGTTATAAATGTCTTTACTGTCACTTTTGATCAATTTAATGAATCCTTGCTGAATAAAAAGTATTCATGTCTTAAAAAAATCTTACTCACCCCAAACTTTTAAATGGTGGTATGTTTACTGAGTGCTTACAGTATTTCTTGAAATCAAGTAAGTAACTTTGACCGTACGTGTTCATATTACAAAAAAAAGATTGGGAACTCTTTTTTTTTTTCTTCTCATTTATTTGGCTGCTATTTACTGCCAAGTGCTTTAGCAGTATGAGCAAGTCTTTCTGAAAGCTTGTTTTCTTTGTCTTCCTCAGGTCACTGCCTGCATGAGATCTTTGCCCTGCGCGAGGGGAGGATAGGACGGGTGCCCGACATGGTGGTTTGGCCGAGTGAGTGACTGCAAAGGGTTAAGCATCAGTGGCTGAGTGCTAATTAATATTCATGAGGATCTGCTTTAATTAGAGGGAACGGGGGAGCTTGCCGTCCAGTGATACTCTTGCTGCCAGAGCAGCTGCTCTCTGATTGGTGGAGTCCTGACAGCATCCATTTCACCCTCTCTGATTGATGGCTGAGCTTTGATTAGAAGAGTACCCAAGCGGCCAGCAAATCATCTGCCTCTCAGTCCAGAATATTCTCTCTCGGCGAATTCATCCTTTACCTCCAATCATCAAGGGTTCTCCCTCAGTAGATTGTCCTGTAACCATCAGAGTCTCCTTCAGAAACCCTTCTGCGCCCCTCACTCACACATACACACACACACGGTTTTTTTATAATCTTGACGAAATGTCACTTTCTCTGCCTCTGAAATGACTTCAGTGTCCAATTAAATTCTTGTGAATAAAACCACATTCCACTTTACATTATATCCAACTAAATATTCTCTTTCACTACGACATTTTGGATTATAAGCTATAAGATATCGAGCCCATGTTCACTGTTGTGTTGTTGTGTGGGACGTTTAGTGGGCGGTCAGATGTGCTCCAGTGGGTCACTGCTTCATATTGATCCACCCGTCTGAAAGTAGAAGGGATTGAGGGGTTTGTTTTTGTGTAGTAGTGCACTACCATTCAAAAGTTTGGAGTCAGTAAGAATGAATAGTTTTAAACAGCAAGAACTGAATCGATCAAAAGTGACAGTAAAGACATGTATAATGTTACAAAAGATTTCCATTTCAAATAAATGGTGTTTAATAATAATCAGAAATGTTACTTGAGCTGCAAATCAGCATATTGTGATTTCTGAAGGATCATGTGACACTGAAGACTGGAGTAATGATGCTGAAAATTCAGTTTTGCATCACAGAAATAAATTACATTTACAGCTATATATTCAAATGCAATGCACTTCTTTTAAATTTTAATAGTATTTCACAATATTACTGTTTTACTGTAGGCTACTTTTGATTTTCAGTCTAATAAATTCAGCCTTGGTGAGCATAAGAGACTTCTTAAACTATTGAACGGTAGTGTAAGCGTAAGGGTTGTTTTGTTATGATTGATATGAAAGTGGTTTGATGTGAAATAGTTGAGTGGATAATAATGGTGATTTGATTTTTGCAGGCTGTCACAAAGATGTAGAGAAGATTGTGGAACTGGCCTGCAAACACAACGTCTGCTTGATACCCTACGGAGGCAAGTACTCGCATAAAGAAAACACATCTAATGCTGATGGACCAAAAGATTGTTTATAATCAAATCAAAACAAAACAAGATAAAATGTCTTGCCATATTACGGTTATATATTTAGTTTCTGCTTAGTGTGTTTCCCTCTCATTTTGCTCTTTCCAGCCGTTTCATTCACTTTCCCCAAAAAGGAAAATTGTTTTTGTAGATTACGTTTGTGCAAAAATATTAATCAGCACAACTGATTTCATCATTGATATTAATAAGACATTTTTAGCGCATAAGAGCATTTAAGCGTATTAGAAAGATTTCTGAAGAATCATGTGACACTGAAGACTGGAGTAATGATGCTGAAAATACAGTTTTGATCACAGGAATAAATTACTTTTTAAAATATATTACAGAAATGATAGAAAACAGTTATTTTACATTGTAATAATGTCTACTGTATTTTTGAGCAAATAAGTGCAGCCTTGGTGAGACTTTTTCAAAAATATTAAATCTTACCAACCACAAACGTTTGAACATTATTGTATTTCATCTAATATTTTTTTTGAATGAAGTGTTCAGAACATGAACCTTGTTTATTTTAAATATTTTTCTAAATGAATTTTTTGTGCTTAGCTGTCTAAATGTGATCTGCGAAGTCTGATTGACCTGATATTCTGATTTAATATAATTTAACAGAATATGCTTGCATATATTTAAGTTTTTTTATTCTTGTTTAAACATTATATTTTCATTTTTCTAATCATAAAATGTTTTCAAATTGTGTGAATTAGTTTTGGACATGGCAGAGCTGTTCTCCAGATCATGTAAGTTTAGATATGTGTGCTTTCTTACAGTATTAAACCTCTCTCTCGCTCTCTCTCTCTCTCTCTCTCTC